CCACCACTGTTTCAGGTCCAGCTTGGGACTTCAGGCTTCTTTGGCTGTTTGGAACTGACCGGATCAGATATGTCTAGCTCGAAGTGGATCTAGGCTTGAGCGCTGTCACGGCCGAAAGGGGGCACCACCCTAAGGAAAAAGCCGGGCGTACAACGTAGCTTCTGCAGTTGCAGTCCCCTGCAACCAAGATTAGAGTACCAAACCCTGCCAACTAGCCCGCCCCCGCAGAAGGTAAAGAACCAGGTAATCAAAGTGCAGCTAGTGAAGTGTTCAACTGCTCGACCCAAATCCATCAGAACATGAACGGGGTCTACAGGTAGTTACATTTTACATGGCATGGAAAGTCATTGGGCGGACATTGGATTAGAGGTGTAGGTACCTGCTGTGCAAGGTTTGCTTAGGGCTTGTTCAGTCCTCGGATCCAAGCTATAGTATTCAAAAATCGTCACACGAACATTTGAGATTAACACGCGCCTCCCCTAATAAGAAACATGTCGCGCAATATGTAAAATCTTTTATGGGAGGATACGTAATAGTAGTGTTACTAGGGGCGGATGTTTGGAAAGTTAAAATGAGGGGAATACCCGCTTTTGAGATAAGATGTTTGCAGCGAGACAACCAGGCCCCTTCTGAAGTCCTTCCGTTTAAAGAGCGCTATAATATATTGGAACACCTGTTTTCAGAAAGCACAATTTGGCTTAAAGTTTAAGGAAAAGCTGCGGCGCCGGCAGAGAGGTGTTTTCGTGGGAGCGACCGCGCATCTGCACGGCCCATGCTGCTCCCAGGCATGGAAAGAAACCTCGTAGCGCAGCGCTACGTGTACGTGACTCCTTTTGGGTACCTCCCTGTACCATGTTTGAGAGGTGCACGCTCATTGAAGGGGAAACGGAACAATCTGACTGTGTAGGATCATCTCCAGTATCTCAACACATTCCGGGCGACGCGTGGAAGTTTTGCTGAATGATGAGTCTACCCTGTCCATGTAAGTACCATTCAGAGACATACAGGCTCAATGTGGGTATTATTTATAGGCCTCGAGCCCCAGGGTATCCAGGCTTCACTGGGATGACGTGCTGTAGCTTGATGGTCTCACGTCATGTACTCAGGTTATCATGTGACATGCTGCATATGATTGAAGCATGGAACGATCAATGTTTTGCGATGCCCCCAGATCTGCAATCGCAATGAATTTTTGCCGCAGAGCTCTCAACATTTAGCACAAGGTAGTGTTCCATTGGGCAAAGCTATGCCAAGCACAAACTGGTAGACTTGCAGAACAAACAAACAACTGAAGGGTCATTGCTTCAAGCCATCAGTTATCTGCACAGGATTCCATTCCAGTCCTGTAGGGGAAGGAAAGCCACAGACAAAAGTTTGATGCCACCCAAAAATGGTGCTTGTTGAATGAAGCCTTCCGACGTTGGCAATGCTTGGGGCCCATGTGTTATCGGTACAGTTACAAGAACAACTGCAGGCTAGCTAGCTGCAGCTCGGAACGTGTCAGGTGCCGGAAAATCACAGAAGCCACAAGTCTCTGACCGTCTGAGAATCATAAAAAAAAGGGTTCCCTAATCCCGAAACCCTAACCGACGGTCCGAAGCCCAATACCGGCCACCTACGCTCAAAATCTCCGTCCGGGCTTCTTGCTTGGTGACGGAATTAGCGGAGCAGGGCCGGACAGCCTGCGGATAAAGTGGTTTACTTGCATGTTGCCAGCAGGGATTGAGGAAAAGAGAACATGGAAGCTACAAGCGATTGAGGGTTTAGATGGTAATTAGGGACTGCATAGAGGCGCCGAAAATAATCCATTCCTTCATCCCTACAAACAGCCAGCAAAGGGGAGCTTTGTGTTGAGGGGTTTGGGGGGGAGAGGGTATGGGGCTTCCCTAAAAGTGATTGAAAGTACTGACACCATGAAGAAGGGCCAACAATACTGCCCCAACTGCAAAACGTACTATCTGGACTCCAAGAGTCTGCAAAAGAAGGGTCCAAACCCCTAGAACATTTTCAACAAAGAACAGATTCATTCTACATGTAATATTTAGGGGTCCGGGTAGGCTGAAGAATTGTGACCTTATCCAGCGGCTCTAGCCCCTGTAAGTGCGCCACATGGGGCTTGGAGGCGTGCGGCCCATGTTGACTTGTTGGGAAATCGATAAGCTCCTGGGTCTTTATGGGGATGCTGTTACAAGCTACAAGTTGCTAATCCGTGTTGTGATCTAGCATACTCACGTGTAGAAGCTATGTTCAACTTTGACCCAGGTTAAAAGTCTACACAAGGCTCTTCAAACAGGTCTAGAGGGCCAGAGGATTCAAAGGGGTCTGCTCCGTCTGATCAACCATCTTGGCTTGGGATTGGCTGCGCATTTTCTTGCTTCGCGCTGGTCGTAGCCTTAGAGCTCATTGAAGCTTTCAGAAAGCTGGGTAGCCAGCTGGGTTTGAGTCAGTTTGGCGAAAAAAGCTCCACACAGTACTAAGTGAACGACTGAAAGCCCGAACCGACGATCTCAAACATAATGCAATCGTCAACCTTGCGATAGCAGGCAAGTCGGCAGACTTGTACCCAAATTACCCAAACACACCCCTGCATGCGCATAGAGACATATCCTCCGAACCAAAGGCACTCCGTCCCATGACCCTGGCCTCAGGAAGTTGCAACCTCCATATTGGCCCTCCACTCCCAAAGCCCGCTGTAAGTTTGGCGGCAGCAGTTGCTAGATCTGGGGCTGTTTGTTTTTCGGGATTGGGGTCTAGGTTTTGTTGATTGCTTAGGATGGGGGTGCTGAGGTGCGTGACTGCAAGAGAGCTCAAATGTGTTCCTATGGCTGGAACACGGACCTAGCTTTTGATGGCACTACGTTCGGGATGCAAATCTGATGGTGGACGACCGGGGGGTGGGTGGTATCAGTGAGCCCGGCAAAGCCAGCTGTTGCACTTCTCACCATTCTGTGTGCCAAGAACTAAGCCACTAAGCATGGAACTAAGCACTCCAAACTGTGCCTTGCAACGGCTTTCAACTAGTCATATAAAGCGCTACATTGCCTCTGAAGCTAGCTAGGCAAGCCGCCGCGCACTTCTATCAAGATTGATCTTGTTGTTGTTGTTGTTGTTGTTGTTCTTGCTGGTGCTGGTGCTGGTGCTGGTGCTGCTGGTGCTGCTGCTGTTGTTTTTCTATTCGGCTCTGGCGTTGAACCCTATGCTTGCTTCTGCCTGGCAATTTGCAGCGGCAGCCTTGTTTCTCAACTGTCTGCCTGAATTCTGTAGGAAATGCATTCCGGACAGGCACGCCGCCTGCTAGGCAGTGCAGCGTTGGGTTAAACTGTACCTGCCGTTGCTAAGTTGTAAATTAGCCTTGCCAGGCAGCCGGAAGCCGCCTCATGTCTATGCATTCTCGAGTGTGATCTTGCAGGACCTTTCAAGACATGGGCTAGACTGTGAAATTTGCGTGAAGCTTTCAAAAGTATGTGATAGCACAAAATGCGCAGCTTCTTTGGGGCTTTCGGATTCCTGCAGGTTGGTGCGAGCTACGGAATCTGCAACATGCATTGGCGAGAAGCCGCGTCAAACTCTGAATTCTGCAGGTGCTCCGGATTGCAGAGGCACACGATTAGGAGATGTAGTCGATATCTACCCCTCGTGCAGCTGCCATGTACGAAGCCTGGGACATGTCTCGATGAATGAGCGCAAGGGTACGTCAATAAATCACTTCTATTCAACATTAAAGGCTAGGCCGACTGTAGGCTCAGAATTTTTCAAATGCTCCAGACGGCCCTAAATCTCTCTTCCTGAGTGAATAATGCATCTTCCTGCAATTGCAGAAGAAAGCCTGACTAATGGCTTGAGAAGTAATCCTCAGTTCGAGCCTTGGAAAGAACAATTCCATGCTGATGCCATCCAACCCTAAATCCTAAGTTCTACCCCTCATCATGCCCCAATGGACATGATGTAGGGGGAGTACATCGCTAGACCTAGCTTCTGGCTTCGGAAAAGCTATGAGTGTAGACGGCTTTCAGGGGACAAGCTTAAATCGTGTTCGGTTTCTACTTCTACAGTACAAAACCCTAAACCCTAAACCCTAAAACCTAAAACCTTATATCCTGGCAAAACCTGCCTCCCCTGATGCCACAGCTGCTCCACTTGAAAGGCTGGCTTCGTAAGCCAAAATTGAACCATAGTCTAGACTCCTCGTATATCCCTTAATAACCCCTCAAGTACTCCCCTCTATCATTCCCTGTGTAATCCCCCCCTTTATGGAGCTTAGACTCTAGCGCAGTCAAAGTCTGGGCCTCTGGGTAGAAGTTTGCGGCTCCCAGTTTTTCTAATCCTGACAATGCGCTTCAGGGTTTAGAGCTCTTCGGAGGAGTTTTTCATACAGAGCCCAAAGCCCCCACAAAATGGGAGGACAATGATGCTACCTAATTATCGGGTATGCCAGCTCTCTTCCACAACTTTGGGCAGAGCACCCAGCGATCTAGATTAAAGAACTAGGGTTACCTAAAAAGGTGAGAACTAAGGCCAAGTGAATTCTTGGTGAAACTCGCCTGGTTTGTCAGGTTTGCGCGCAGCTCCTGGACACCACGCAGATCGTTAACAGGTCATGCGGTTCTGTATTACCCTATAAATGCCCAGTCTCTATGTAATCTTCAAATGTCGTTTCCATTTGATTTTCCATTAGTCTACCCCTAACCCTACTGCAACACTGGAACTCAACAGGCAGATAAATGGCCACACGATGTTGCTCAAGCATGGCTCAGCTTGGGTTCAGCCCCAGGGAAGTATGCAGAATGATGTCATTTCTTGGACTCGCTTCTGTTTTTTCCGACAATTACCTAGTTTTGAGGTACAGCTAGAAACTCTTGCATATCTACTAGTGGTTCATAGGGAGTAAAGGAATGCATCATATAGGGGTTATGTTCCCTTATTCCCTATTAGCCACCAGTAAGTCTAGGGATTAGGGCTTAGGATGGACCACCCGAGAATCAAACGGAATGCCTGTGAGCTCAGCGAAGCTCTCTCAGCGCAGAGCGACTCCTGCATCTCCAGTGCACACATTTGTTGTTCTTAGTTTCCTAGCTATACCTGATGTTCAAGCTAATCATTATTGGTATAGTCATTGTTGTTGCTATTCATATACTCTTAATACTGACATTGTTATGTCATATTCCCGCAAGTACGCGAAAGATCCTACGTGTCAAGCCATGATTGTATAGGGGCCTGCTACGGTGTATCGGGCATCCGTTTTGGTGCATATGGTAGTTTCCATCAACAGGGAGACCTTACTATAGACCCCAAAATACTATAGTCCTCCTTAAGTAGATAGAATATGGCTTTGGGTATATTATAATAAGATCCCTACATACCCCATATTCTATCTACTTAAGGGGGACTATATAATCATTAGTCCCGAGTTTGCGGACAACCCCATATGGCTTTGGCCCGGCCTTTGTTCAAGACTGATGGTCCATGTCCCGGATACACTTTACTGTTTGGCACATGCGGGTACTGAACATCCTGCATGACCCTAAGTACGTCAAGGCTTAGGATTTTCTGTATCATTGTTTACTAAGGTCACGCAGGTTTTGCGTATCAACCGCAGTATGACTGGCAAACAAATGAACATCATTTCTGAGGACCCCTGCAATATTGACATATATGTATATATATATATACATATGTATATTGCAACCCAAAATAGATATGGGGGTTGGGGGTAGTAGGGAACAAGGAGATATATTCTACAGGGACTATATAGGGACTATATTCCCTCCCTACTACAACCTCTTTGTATACCATGTTCTACTGTAGTAGCTTGCATTTTCTTTTCCGTTATCCCCATATATCCATTCCTTTATATAGGGATTCTATTTCCTTATTCCTTACTAACCCCCATCAAGAATATTGCGAGGCGCCTTCGTACCGCGAGGAGGCCAAGGACGCCAGCACCTGATATGCAAATGGCACCAAGTGGCGTGTAATATCTACTGTTACCAGTACTTCGTATTACTATGACAACAAGGATCATTATTAAGGTTACCATGACCATGTCTATTTCTATTCCTATTCAAAATATCATTGTTACTGTTTCCAATACTGTTATTGTTCTTCTTCTGCTTTATGGTCAGTCAGAACTGCGTCGCCAACCTCTCAAGAAGCTTATAGAAGCTTAGGCTCCCTGGTGCTTCTTAGGGAACCATACCTCCATACAGCCTGAGCCGCGAAAACCCAGTACCCCTTAATTAGGTACTATACCCTAAATCAACTTAGGGATCCTGACCCCAAAGGAACCATGCAGCTATATGTAGCTATATGGTATATACTTGGGCCCCCAAGTAGTTATATGGGAACCCCTTTGGGGACCCTTTATTTCTAATGTAGCTGCTTTTGAGGCTCGCAAATGCATGAGGAATCCGAAGCCAGCCGCCAAAAACTCAAACAACTCGAATAATCCAAAAAGGAGCTGCAGAAGAGCCTCCAACCCAGAAAACCTTTTGGATTCGAGACCCAAGAGACTATAACCTTAAACGCCTGAACCCTGAGCTCTGAGCTAAGACTAAGTCCGAAAATCCAGACCCTGAGCCTTAAATCTTATTACTTCCCATGATTTAGGCTCGGCCACCACCGTGACCAGAAAGGATGCTGATAAGTACTAGGTGGGGATACCCAAAGCCTCCTCTGTGGTAGTTCCGTTTTGGCTATTAGGTTATAATGCCTTACCACCAAAACACACAACAAACACAACACCTTAAACCCTAAACTCCTAAAACAACATTCGAGCTCCAACCTGGGCTTGCCGGTCCAGCCATTGCTGCCTTTCGCCCTCCGGGGTTTCAAAAGGCGACACCAACTTCAAGTTCTTGTACTGTTATAGTATATTGCAGAATATTATAGTATTGCAGTACATTGTAGCATCCTGTAGTATTTTGCAGTAGATTAAAGTATGGTTTGTGTCCATGAGCTGTGCTTTTCATAAGTTTGCAACTTACAGCACCTCTTCAACTGCTGCAATCCCCTCCACCTAACACTAAATGTCCATCCCCAACAAGGCACCATCATATACCATCTGACTGGATTCTCCAATATTAGGAGGCTGGGGATGTGTGTCATTAGGTGAGGGGATTCGTCTACCTAAACTTCCCACAAGTACATAGAACAATTTACCTACACCCCCCCGAAATACGTAGCACCATCGTGATTTTGGCCATTTTGAAGGTTTTGGTCTTTTTTGACCTACTTGTGGGGTCCAGGTAAGTGCTGGAGAGCAAGGCTGCTTTCCATGTAACATCCCAGGCTGGCCATTACTTTTACATACAAATATGGGGATCTCCCCAATATAGTATTTTGGGCTCTATATTGGGGTCCCCCTATTTTGGGAAACTACCATATATTCTAGTTCTATATGGTAATATACCTATACATATAACCAATATGTTCTGAAAACTGAATCTTACTTGGGGGTTAGGAAACCTTCGTAAGGTTTGTTCACGGGGATCGGTGAGGACTCCTTTAAAATCCTGGGGTGGATTGAACAGACTGTGAGACTCTAGCAATGCTAAAGTTTCGGCCATAGCTCGTGCCCTAAACCCTATATAACCCTAGCTTCCATCTCATTTTCCATTTCATTATCCATTATCATACCTAAACCCAACATAGCCCTAATTTCCCATTCTTTTCATTTCATTCTCCATACTTCCCATCTTTGTTCCCGTCGTATGTTTCATGTCCTTCTCCATTCTTATTGGTCTCCAAGCCCGTGCAGTACAATCGGCTGATGTGCCTGGAACTCTGGACAGAATCGTTTTCGCTAGCTAGATACTGGAACCCAATATTATATGGACATCCCACAAACACATCTAATTTTCGGATTCCCTAATCCCTATAATTCACGAAATGATCCCCAGTTTCCACTTCATGTTTTCCATATTCTTTTCCATACGTTCCGTCAACCCTATCTTCCCCGTGGCCTGGTGCGGGCGATAAGGGCGGCAGTCGAAGCGGCGATGCTTTCGTGCCGGGAGAAGGGCCTGAATTAAGGGAGCTGTAACTAGCACCGGAAATACGAAACAATAACAGACATAAGAAATGTAAGAACGGCAATCACGAGAATGTGGTGGTCATGTTGCGTGCAAGCATTTTGGGATTGGGGTTTGGGTTGTGGGCCGCCCCCATGTGGCACCAAGAAAGGGAACTTCCATAAGCCAAGGGGAAATACCTTGGACAAACGCGGGTCATTGCAGACTGTTGCAGACGGGTCGTACGGGATGCTGACACACTACGATTGTTACAGGCGGGACATGCCTCCTAATTTGAAATCTTTGCAGCCGCAAAACGGTCCTTGTTTACGGAGTCTTCTTTACAGAGTGTCTCAGCAACTTTTACCATGGTTCGAGGATCCGGGCTTCCGGTCTACAATGTCGGGGTGAGGGTCTCAGCCTGAATTTCATCCTTTTGTGCACTGATACCAAAGTAACCCGTAAAAGGGCGTATATGTGCAGCGTCTTCAGGACTGAGCAAGGGGCCCTTTGCCACACAACCCCCAGCAACAGAGACTCAGCATCACGGACGCAGGGTAGCGTGCAGTAAGGACAACACTTGGAAAATTAAGTGCAACAGGAATGGCGCTGGAAATGGTTGTCGCGATAGAATTGCAGCAATGCAGCCATGATACTGGTAAAATAAATTGACTGGCTATGTAAATTAAGTTACCATACCATGGTATATGCTAACTAATAGGGTTTCCATATTATAGTAACTTAGTGAAATCCAAAACAACAACCCAGTTGAGGGTGAATGGTTTCCTTGTATTGAAACTGGCATAGTGAAACTACGAGCAAGGATCGTAGGCTATCTCTCGGCCCGAGAAAAAGTGGATTCGGAAGAGGCTGACTAAATCTGTTTGGACAACAGGCGAACGGCACACCCATGAGATTTAGGTTTGGGATTAGAGGTTGAGCTGTGTTTCAGCTCAACTTTTGTCAACTTTGAAACTAACTTTGCAGCTCTCAAACGACCTACGTTCATCCCGGGCTCCAGAGAAAAGAGGAAAGGCGACCTCTTCTGCCAAAATGCTTTCATGGGCAGTGCGCTAAGGTCTATGTTCTAGTTTTAGCTTGGAGAGAACTTGTCGAATGCAGTTGCGGCTCGAGATTCTGGGTCTTAGGACTTTGGGACCCCGACCTTGATTGGTGCCCTGATGTGCTTTGAACTTTTTGGGTGCCTAAAAGATTCGCGCAAACAAGTCAAGCTAGCTGAGATGCAAATCTTTGAACAGATAGCGCGGTTGGAGGTCGTTAACATGACATGACAGTTGAACAGTTGTGTGTAGCGACCTTCTCCAGATCATGCAACTCAAAAGAGGCATGTTTAAGCCTATGGCATACGAAGTGATGTGTTCCACACGAGACGAAGAAGCCGGCATGAGCAGGCCTTCTCACGCCACGCCTTCAAAACTTGGAGCTCTCCTGCCTACTCCACCCTTGCGTGTGATAAAGAATTCCCAAATCTCGCACTGTCACCCAGAAGTTGTCCCACACATTACATGGCCTCTCCTAAGACACATGAAGCCTGCAGTTAAAGATGTTCATTTGGGTTTTGGTTCACGTGAACACTGCCTAAACCTTGATGCTGTCACACCCTGGCCATAAAACTCAACTCGTCCCTGCCGCAACCCTAGACTAAGCTTACAAGCTACAAGGCTGGACCCTCGAACATAGAAGCCCTAACTGCAAAGTCACCTTCGTAACCCCAGCCCTTAACGCTAAAAACGATGCACACCCTTATATAATTCCACCTTCCTATTGAGATCCCAGAAAAAAGGACCCCTCTTTCTCGGAACCACGAATCCCCACAATCCACTACGCAATCCCCGTTTTTTTTCCATTTAATTCTCCCCATTATTGGGGTAGGATACCCTACCCCAAAGGCCCCCAACCCTTATCCCTAAACCCTAAACTCTAAACCCTGGACCCCTTAGAAACCCTACAACCCAAACCTTTACAACCCTAAACTCTTAACACTATGGGCCCTATAGGTTTTTGCAACAATCACCCTAAACCCTAAACCCCTAAACCCTAAACCCTGAATAGTACTTTCCATTTTCTTGTCAATTATCCCAAGAATCCCGATGCGCCTGCATCCCGAGACCTCGGTGCCCTGGCTGAGAGCATCTTCTCACTTAATGAACCTCACGGGGTGGGGGGGGAGAGGGGGGGGTTTAGGGTTTGAGGGTTTAGGGTTTTAGGGTTTGGGGCTTTAGGGTTTAGGTGAAGAAGGGATTCTGTACAGGTGTGTGCAGCTTTATGGGCTTTCGGGTTGGGGGTATGTAGGCTACATATCTATATATACATACACATGTACAGGCTATATATGTGTGTGTGTACAATACCTCATAGGAGAGTTCACGGGATGACCTTACACCAGCTGTTGGTATGGCTGGAAATGCCAAAGGCTCCATGTAGCTATATAGTATATACCCAAATAACTACTGTGAGGCACAAGTATATAGCACATACCTACATGGAGCCTTTGGGAATTTCACGCCCTGAAGCTATGCAGTTTCAGAATAGCCTTGGGCCCAAGAATCCTTGATCACTCTGATTTTGGCCAGTGCTAATTACACACCCTGGTCCTGAATGCGGGGATGAAACCAGCATGCGATTGCATTGAGGATTTGACACCGTTTATGTGTCCACACCACTTGTATCAGGTCCGAACATGATAAGCTTGCAGGCCTACTGGTAAGAATACTATGTTCTTGTGTTTCGGAGCTTTGGCAAGCTTGCTTGCATGATGGTTTTGTGAGCATACCACCCATGAACTGCGCATGCGCCCTTTTGAACTTGCTTGCTGTTGAAGTGCACTGACGGTCGTATTTGCTACGCCGAGGGTTGTTAGCATTTCCATTGTTTTCATTTTCGATACTACAGGGTTATGTGCCAATGCACGAGCCAACCACTGTTTGAAAGCTTGCCTGCTAGGCAGCAGCAAGCCCAACCAGCAAGAAGTCCTGGCAATAATGAACCATTGCCAATAAGCCTTGTAAAGAGCTCATTTTTCAGAAAACTTCACGACAGCCGATCAAGACAATCTTGTCGAACACCCATCCACTTCACTCACCCTCAATCCCTGAAACCCTAAAGCTCTAAATCCTGAACTCTCAAATCCCACTATTCCCCCCACCGGATTTGCCTCGATTCCGAGGCGCTTCGGAGCATGCAGCAGCCCGGAACGCCTTCTGAGGCTTCTCCCGTCTCTCCTGAATGGAGACCACCACAGGGATTCATCCCTCCTTGCCTTGTCAACCACCAATAAGATTAGGAGGGGTGAGTTGTACTCATGGCATGTTATGATCAAGGCGGCGAACAGAAAACCGCAACGCCTAAGTAAGTGACCTAACCCAATCTTCCCAAGTGACATTCCCTGCGCACACAGGGCGCTTGGATGCGCTTGGTTTAGTGGTGGAGTTCTGGAAGGTCCAAGATAGGACTTCATGTTCTACTGCTCTATGGCACTATACGAGGAATAGCATGAGTACTAAAGTATTAGCCTGAAACTCGTACTAGTACTTCCACCATTCTGTACCAGCTTCCCATCCCTCCTCAACTCCTTCTGGAGTTTAGTGTGCCCCCCACGTAGTTTTCAAAAGGCTCCTTCATGGCATAGGCTGGGAGCATGGCCATCAGTGACACATGGCGACATTCCGGGAAAGCCCTCAGCGGAGCATGCTTTTGTTGCCCAAAGGCTCCATGTAATTAGATAGTATGTACTTAGGGCCCAAAAGGGTTCCCATATAAGTACTTTGGGGCCCAAGTATATACCATGTAGCTACATGGTGCCTTTGGGTTGCTGAGAGCACAGGCAGGGGGCCGTCGCATGTATGTTCTCGGGTCTTAGTGTCTCATGGGATGTTTGCTGACGAGTCAAGAACGCAAGGGTTTCAAAAGTTAAGGTTGGCTACGGGTTCTTACCTCGGCTACTACATTAGTCATATCCAGACAAGCCCTATAAGGCTCAATAGCCCAAACGCCTGTTATAGTATGGTCCACGAGGAAGTAGATTATATCTAGCGCAGCCAAGGCTCAGGGTGTCTGCCGGTTCCACATCAAGCACAGTGCCTGATGACAGATCCTCGCCGCTCACTGCTTCAATGTTATACTTGTTTAGGCTTAGGGTTTAGGGTGAGTCCTCCCAGAAAAAGAATGAGGAGTTGCCCAATAGCATGATATGATCCCCATATGCCCCATGTTCTATCTACTTATGGGAGACAATAGACCTTCCAAAGAATCCGCCAACAATATCAGTGGAAAAGGTCTTCCGTTGTTGATTTCTTATCCACACATTTTTTCCTGATGCTGAACCTTTCACACACCTTTGAAGCCTTTGATCATTTGTTACATCTTGGAACATCTGTACACTTGCCATCTCAGGAGCTTCCGGCGATCTCCCCATTCCAAACATGCACGTCCCTGATTATCCCTGTTCCACTACTTTCTCATAGTACTATGTATGGTGAGACTATCCATTTGAGAGAGACAGAGAGAGGGTATACCTCCTGAGAACTGCAGCCATTCAAACCGATTCCTACCTAGTTGTGCAGGTTCTGGACATTTTGCAGCGTTGGCACAAGGAGTTCATATGGGTTCATGCATGCGCCGGATTCTTCGCGCAACTTGATATGCCGTAGCCGTTCTCGCAATGTACGGTGTACAGTGTACAGCCTGAGCCTGACGACTGCAGGATTTCTAGACTCAACTGGAAACAGCCCCAGCGTCCTTGCCATACTTCCAGGGCTTCGCGGGTAAGTCCAGGAGGTTGGCAAAGGCAGGGCCTTTGGAATGTAGCAGAGGAAGCTCCTTCAATGCAACACCGGGTATAGGGTTCAGCGATCATGTCTTAGGTGTCTCGGGTTTGAGGGGGTTTAAAGGCTTAGCACTTGAGTCTCTGTGTTGCTTGGATGTCGAACGGTTGAGGAGTTGGAGGTTTAGAGGTTCAGTGTTTGGGGCCCATGGGTGTGGTGTCGGCTTTCCGTCTGAAGGGGTATCGATTCCTTCAGTGTTCTGGAACCTCATGCTTGGAGGGTCGAGGGGGACGCATTAAGTAGGATAATAACCGCTATAGCCCATGTAGTAACCCTCATTGTCCCCCTTTTTAACCTACTTACTAAGTCCCCATGACCCTTCAAGTACCATACTGGCATCTGATGGCTGACAGGCCACGCCCCCCCTCCCCCCCGTCTATGCTCACATATCCGCCCAGCCCGCATGACATGACATAACGCATGTCCTAATACGACTGGAAGGAGCTTTCTGGAAAAGGGTTATCAGTTACATTGCTTCTCACCGCAGCGCACTAAGCCCAATTGCGAGCAACGATCATCACTGAAGGACAAACGCAAGCGGCAAATAGCAATACAACCATCCTAAACTGTAATCCCTCTAGACCTATAAGGAAATATTCGAAGCATTGCTGTTCATAAGTTCGCCGTAAATTAAAAGAATGCCAAGGAAACAGGAGCAAAGCTCGCAACTGAGGCTGTCCTGGGGTTTGAGAAGACGCCTCTCTGACAGAAGCTGCTCCTCCAGCGAACGCACTCATGGGTCTCACATGAGCATACGGGGAGTGTCTCGAAACAGGGGCGCGTTATGAGCCCCTCAGGATTTGGTAGTTTCCACCCCTTCACTCGCCTCTGGCCTGCAGCCTCCACAACTCGCGCCCTAAACCCTAAATCCTATCCCCAAACCCTAAACTCTTATAAACTAAGCCCAATTGGGGTGGGGATCCCTGACATGTAGACCTTCCCAGATCCAAGCTGTCGATCAGACGGTTTGGCTCGACGAAGCCGGGCTTCCTCGATATGTTGAATGACTGGGTTTGGGGTTAGAGTCCCCCTTAGGTAGATAGAATATGGGGTATATGGGGATCTAATTATAAAATACCCAAAGCTATATTCTATCTACTTCAGGGGGACTATAAGGGTTCAGGGACCCTGCTTGGAGGTTCCTAGGTAATTTTGCGTAATGTTGTAAAGGATTCATTTAGGACTTATATAGGGTATCTATGGGTAATCTTGCAGAAAACGTGTAACCTCAACCCATGTGGAGTAACTGGGGTAGATACTCTCGTACATTGAGCTCCTAGAGCTGTAGTTGCATATGAGGTTTCCCAAGATTGGAAGGTACCTTTGGGGATCTCCATAATAAGGATTAATCGTATGTTGGGGTCTATACTGAGGTCCCTTTATCCTTGGAAACTACCATAGGAGACAGACTTAACGAGATGATCTGGGAAGTAAGCCGTCCAATTAACTAAAATCTTGGGAAACTCGCCGACGATCGCTTACCGCGACCGTGCTCATAATTTTTGCTCTTATAGACACGCGAAGTAGGGGATTGTTATTAGGCGAAGCCTTGCAAGTACCAGTACAACTCCTTGTATCAGGACTCTAGGACTGGTACTATAGTACTAGGACCAGTGAGAAGGAATTCTTAATATGAGCAAAGGTACAGATTGTGCTCGTTGTACTTCACGGCCATTGTCACCTGCGGGGCTCTCGGACAGACTACAGAACGATGGTGCTTCTACTTCTCCCTACACTAGTAACTCTGCCACGTGGTTCGTTCAAACATTCCGTGCTAGTCGTGCACGTGATGGCTTGCATAAACCGCGAATCGGAACTGGATAATCAAGAAGCCGTGGGCCCAGGCAATGGCAAATGTGATAGAACTTACCCTTGGTTAGCTGAAATGAATTAAGGGGAAAGAAAATGGAAACTACTATAATTGGGTATATAGGGGCTACTGTAAGGATCCTTTCCTTGATTCCTAGCTCACCCAAGGTAAGAGATATGACAGATCCCCAAGCCTCATGCGAAATACAGCGGTCAAACGGCAAGGTTACTTCCAGCGCTGGGAAACTCCCACGGAAGTCTGTGACAACATGTCAGCTATAGTCATAAACTATCATAAGCTCCTACTATCCCCCTTGATAACCCCTATAATGCTGCCCTATATATTCCCTTATTTAACCCCTTTTAAGGAGTTTAGACTACAGCTCATGTGGCGTTATCAGGTGTTGCACTTAGGAAGGGATAACTAGGTTCCTAAAAGCTGGGTTTGTCTCTCGCTCAACTATATTTTCCCCCAGCTAGCTCAGACCTTTAAACCCTAGAAATTAAAAGCTCGAACTGTAAGCCCACTACCCTAATCAGTAACACGTAACGACACCTTCCCCAAAACTCCCCATACCCCTGAATTTACGAATATACCCTCGTCCATATTAGAATCGCTCATTTGATCAAAGTACATTCCTCAGTAAAGGAGGTAGAAGGGTCCATGGGCCTAAACCGCAAGCCCCCCACATAATCCCAGTTTCCGTTTGATTTTCCAGTTTCCGATTGATTCTCCATTTCTGGGGCTCATGCCCCCATATCACCCCCATATGACCCCTCTACGCAAACAGCTAGATATATACATATGGTAGTAGTAGGAAGTTGTAGGTGCCGGTGCCCTTGTCGCTGCCGGCACGCAAAAGAGGACGTGTACACATTTCCTTAGCTTCCCCGTGAAGGGGCATTCCTGTCAGGTCAGGTTGCAGACAGCAAAAGGGCGCGAAACTACTGTACCACAGTCCGCCTCACCCCCCCCCGCCCTCCCCGACCCCTGAGAAGAACGAAGAGCCCCGCCCAAAGGAAAGAGGAAGAAAACTGGAACGATCGAACGAGAGTCAAATGTCTCAGCATGAGACTCCCACACACTTGAGCCTTACAGGCCTCTACCTGCAGCATTGCCATGACAATATAGATATATATATATATGTGAGTGGATGTACGCACATACTAGTATGACGCCAGCGCGCCCACTCACCCCCACCTACCCGCTGGTGTGGTGACATGCTGTGTTTCTCGAAGAGAATACAGCTAAAACCTGCATTCAGATCTTTCCACTCGCCCTCTTGTGGTGTCGTGTTAGTTTGGTGGCGGGCTGCATTTCTTCAGAATAATACTCCTAAAACTTGACTTTTCTGATTAAGATCATTCCTTCACGTTCGCCTTGCCTGTTCATTCAGATCTTTACCCCCGTTTGATGCAGTGGACTTTCTTTATACCAAAGAAACACGTTCAGATCCCCCTGTGCTGTGGTGACTGTCTTCCTTTACGAATTATCCTCGTATTGTGTTGCTGAAGCCATTGAGATCTTGCCCCACCCCCACCCCCCATCCGGCTGGTGTGGTGGGCTTCGATTCAGGTGGACAATATATTTCAGAGCTGCATCTTGCTGAGGTCAGGCAAATATTCCCCCCTTGCCCCCCATGGGGTGTGATGGGTTTCCTTTCTCGCAGGGCTGTCAGCCTTATTTTTGCTGAATGCATTAAGCCATGGGGTGGATGGTTGTTGTCCTTCAACTGCTGTCATCATTTTGTTGCTGACATCATGCAGATCTTTCGCCTCCCCTTCCAGGGTGGCAGGGTGCCACTCTTAGTGTAAGCAACATTGATCTGGAATTGTCTGACGCCTGCAGCAATTCAGCATTGAGTTGTTCTTCGGGTTGTTGGGATCTGCCAAGTGCCCGCTGTGAAGTGGATAGTTTTCTCTCACCGGCTGTGGCATGGACGGTGGGGGACATGCACCATGAACCTGTGAGATCTGCGACATGAAAACCACTGACAGCTGCGCGAATTGTAATCAAGACGCCCACCACGCCTGTGACGGTCGGCATGTTTGAGGTCTGCAGAGTCAGAAATGACGACAGTAACGAGGATGGTGACCCAGATGTACATGATCCCTGTGGCTGCTACTTTTTGAAGGGTGACAAGCGAGAGGTTGATGGCAAATATGCCTTCTTGGAAAGCTGTGTAGCACTCCCTGGCAACGCGTGGGGCCTGCGGCAATGCTGTCATGCCGCTTGGACCATGTTCCACCTTTTGTCGTCAACTAGATTCGACATATTCGACACATTTCGACCTCAGCTGCAAATTGCCTTAAAAGCCTTCCGAGTGTGCATAAACAAGAACATCACAGTTCTTGCATTATCTTCCCGGCCTTGCTTCGCAGTTGACCCACCGAAGTAAAGACACCTGACGTTGCCGGTAAGCTGCGCAGGAAAACCCTGAATTGGGTAAAGCAGTCTGGTCATGGCCTTCTCTGGAGAAGGAGAAGGCAGGTGTGGGCTAAAGCACTGCCTCTTGATCTAACTGAGTTTCAAGCCACAGTGAGTTCACCAGAATGCAAACAACCTCAGGGCTATCTCACCGAGAATTCCACAAGGGAGCACCGGACCTTCGAGTACAATGTCGCGCCAGCCAAAGCCCTCATGGACATCTTCTTGCAGAAGGCTGCACATTCTGCCAAACAGTGACCCTGCATCACACCTCTAGTATTTCCTTTGGTGGAGGTTGCTGGAGTACTGTAGATGTTTTTGTGGCCATGCCTCGAACGCAGTTCGCCCAGTGAAAGTTCATCAGCGGTCGCTTTCGCCATAGCTACGTCTAGTGCTCCTACATTCATTAACAGACCGATTATACGCACGAGTCAACCTCAAGGTTGTTACTTTGCCTCGGCAACATTGCCAACCGTCAGGATGCTGAAATTCATCGCCGTATCTTCTCAACGCGGATGTTGAAGCAGTTCCAGGCGAGAATCAAAACCCAAGCGGATCAAAGACGGCTACGTGTAGGACATTGAGCTGAATCAAAGACAAGCCGCGGGGTTTTGTCAAGCCGGCTTCTGCCGCAAACAAACCACTTTAATAGATTCCCGGTTGGGGTCACTGTTTCCGTTGAAAATCTGACCAAGTTTCAGGGGACCCGCTGAGTAGTTTGCTGTCCAGATTTGTTGCCCTTGCTGCCGTTTCAGAGGCCATGCGGGAGATTCTGCTGGCTGGAGATACCAACAAGTTGGTGGCAGAGCTGACCTTTGCTACTGACTCGCAGTTGGGGAAGCGCTGTCTGCTGCAAACCCAAATCTTGGGGAATGCCTTCAACACGACTTCTAGAAAGGGGAGCATGTGTCAGGACCAGTGCTTCTTCGAACATGCCCGCAGATTCTGCAGTAAATGCCAAGCTCTGCCTGCAGGTTCGCATCAATGACTTAGCTGCACCCCCAGAGGCTGTGGATGCGCTGTGGCTCGGCGATCCATGTTTTGCTTTCCTTGCTGAAAGGCTGAAAGCTTTCAAACGGCACCAGCTTGGGTCCTGATGACAGTTGTTGGAAGTCTGCGCGGCACACGCACAGGGAAGATCTCAGGTTCTACATCGAGCCCGTTGTAGCCATTCTCATTCTGGTGACACTTGCTTGGAACTTGAAGGAGTCGTTGACAAGATTTGCGTAAAGTCTGATACATGCATGTCTTCGTCTACTGCGCTCGGCAAGGAACGGGATCATGATCGGTTTCCAGACAGATCCCCACTTCGAAAACTGGTCCGGCTGGCCTTACGTGGAGTTGTGCTTTGTGACTGGGACGCAGCTTTTCAAGATTAGGGAAGGTGTCTGTGGAGGTGATCCGTCATGATCCATCTCTAACCCACACGAGAAGCTGTAGGTCTTCGAAGACCACAGACAACATTTGATTTAGGATTTTGGGTTTGACAATTGTAGTTGGCATTCCCGACTGATTTAAAGACGAGTTCTCAGCATGCGCATAATTTCCGTCAGGGTTGCTCTGACAGGAGGGTGCTAACAAGATATCTGTAAGAATCACTACATTGCTGCCCTGCGCTTGGGCCGTATCCCAACATTCCTTATTCCAAACTAGCAAACCTCATTCAAAAGTCCACGAAGTCCCAGCCGCTCCTGACGTTAACCTGAAGCTAAAGCCCAAGCAAGCTCAACAAGGGCAACTACACAAACTCGAATTGCATAAGGGTTATAAAGGGATTCTATAAGGTTATATCATAATTAGATGTTGAACTAGGGTCATGAATGCTCTGCCCTCCGATCAGGCCATCCTCCTGGTTTTGGAATGTGGCGTTCGAGTTTGGCTATCCGGTGGCATGCATGGCTTCTTCTGTTCTGCAGCCCGCTAGCTGCACTAATTTAGAAAGATCACGGGTAGGCTTGCGTCTGCGCGGCTTAGGATGGTCTCAGCATGTCCTGCACAGCTCAAGTGTCTTGCAAGCACGATCCTTCGTGCCCGTGAGCTTTTGAGATCTTTCTTGCGGAAGAATGCAAATGTAGGCTGCAAAGCTGGAGATTGGCTTCCAAAACAGAATCTCCTGCCGGGCCACTGCTTTCCGCGCACCCCTGCATGACATGGTATGCCCATGATGCCTTCACAACATGAGGTGCCGGACTTGGACAGTATGCATCTAGAAGGCTTAACCTCTACCTGCCTGCAGAAGATAAAGTTCAGAAGTCACGCCAAGAGGTGTTCAAGACAAGTCGAGACTTACCAAACCTCATCACCTACAGGGCAGCAGCTGGTCTGGGTTCTCTGCCAAGACTCTCTCCGGACATAGCATCGCAATCAGCTGCCCTCCAGCCCTTTGGTGGACATGCAGATCGATCTGGAGCCAGTCAAGCCCGAGATCTGTAAGTCATAGGCCA